CTGGGGAATTCTGGGAGTTGAAGTCCACCCATCTTAAAGTTGCTGAGGTTGATGAACCCTGATTCAGTACATTCTCTCATTCTTAAGAAACCTGAAGTTCAGACGCTACCTTGGGCCTCATGAACCCACTGACCTTTTCAAAAGCTTTACTGACTTAAAGCCTGGTTATGCTGACAGAGCATCTTCCTCATACTTTTATAACACTGATCCAGTGATCTGAACCATATAAGTGTGGCTTATTTATGGCAAACAGTGGGAGTGGTAACAAGCAGTCTTCATCTGGATACAAAGAACAGATATATTTCAGGATTTAGGCTTTAATCATTTAAGATGTTGTGGATTAGTCTTTTTAATAGTTCTGCCACCACTGTTCAATCTTGTGCCTTCATTTCAGACTTGTCCATGAAAAATGTATGTCTTTGAAACTAATTCTTATACGTGTAAATTGAAAGAAGCAAACCTTTATCATCCTTTTATTATATCACACTCTTTTTTCAGTACTGTTTTAAGCTCACTGAAAATTCATAGTGATACATAAGGGGCATCCCATCTGGCAGATCAAAGCTTCCTGAATAAGCTTTGTATGAGCAGCATCCACTGAGAATTATGGAAACTGACACCACTTTCTCACCCTAGTTTCATTTATTTATTTTGGTCAAAATAGAGTAGGCGCTGGAGGAATCGGGGGTGGTCAAGCAGGCAAGTGATGAAAGGAGCAAACTTCTAAACACCTCTAGTTAAAAATGGTTAAATACAAAAACTGAACTTGGTTATTTCATTTCCCATGGTAATTTTTCTTTTCCAACAATTCTTTTAGACTTTGCAAAATGTTAATATTGCGTTACAATTAAATATTACAAATATTAGTACTGAATATTATTTAAATATAACCTGAATACTATAAATATATGCCATGTGCAACGTTTATCTAAATTGTTTCCAAACCAACTGGATACTTGGGAAATGAATGGCAAAATATATTCTCTATTCTTCCATTTAGTCTTAAAGTATGTGTGTGTGCATGTGTGTGTGTTAGAGACAAAAAAAAAGTATAATTAACAATGACATTTGAAATTCAACTTTTCAAAATCTTTATCCAGCTGTACTTGAACAAAACAAAATAACATTTCCTGCTAAAGTAGCCTTCTTGAATATTTTGAGCTCCTGATGTGTTAGGACTAGAGTTCTCAGAATTCCCATCAGTTGGTTATTCCAGCTGTAGAATCCCAGTGTTTTAGTCCAAATATATCTGATAGGCACCAGTTTGGGAAAGGCTAAAACAAAATTTCAGTTATGCTCATTACTACCTATGAAGCTCTGATCTGGAAATTCAATTCAATGGCACAATATTTTTGAGAGGCACGTGCTTTTAACACAAGCTATCCTTGGACTAAAGAGAGCAGAATATCAGAATATCCAATAACTGAGTAAAAGTTTGATTTTATACATAGGGAATCAAAAGGAAATCCTATTGCTTATTCCCATACAAGTGAGCATATAAATACAATCATGGGGTTTTAGGGCAATCATAGGCTATAGGTGAGATGGTCAAAGCTGAAGGTTTTTGAATGAAAGCAAACAAGTTATCAATTTATAACTTTCCCTAAATCTCAGAAAGAATAATTTGGAGATGAAAACAACTACAAAATTACATCATTTCATTCCACTTACTCAAAGTTTAAGAGCTGGTTTGTCACAAATAAAGCAAGATTCAAACCTTGAAGATTTTACCTTTTAGCAGATCAAATGAAGCAGCCCACAGGAAGAAATATTGTTATGAATGATGTATATTTTGTTTTCTGCTTTTTTTTACACTTCTTATACAAACTGCAAATCTTTTCCACTTCTCTTAATATTGGCTTGCATTTCTGTGATGGAATGGACTTATGAAGGCCATGCTCAGGGAGATAAGTGTGTTCTTAGCCCCCATCAGGAGCATGGGAAGTTCAAGAAAATGAGGCCGCCACCTCCCTAAGGAATTCACAGTGTTGTGGCTGGCTGGCTTGGGAACTTGCATTCAGTCTGGTGAGATTCTGTCTTGAGGTGGAAGCTAATAAACGCAACAGAATTGTATTTGCATTGTCTCTTGGAGTTCTTTGGGCTGAAC